TTCATCAACTCTCGAACTTTATCTTACGTAATTAAATATATTTTAAATATATTCGGTATAGGAAGAACGCTGATTAAGTTATAATTGGTCGGAAGTCTTAGGAAGGTGTCGTATTTTATACGGGAATTATTTCTCGCCGCGATAGAACCGGATTCCAATCTTATTATATTCAAAACTTGGCACGCGTGATCCCAACCGGTTGATGCACCGATACCTATTTCTGGTTTATGAAAATCCTTAAAGTTCCATAAATCACGAGTTATGGAACAGACGTGAATTACGATTATTGCTTTTTTGGTTTTACGATGCTCGACAACGCCTTCTCGTAATCCTACTGTCAAACAGTGAAAGCGAAAGTAGAAGAATTTATATAACAATAAGTAGAAAAGAATTTACGATCATCGACACGTGCGTAAGGTTTCGAGGATTCAAGGTCCAAGGAAGCAAAGGAAACAAGGAACGAAGGAAGGAAGGAAGGAACAGAGGAGCAATTTGGTTCGGTACAGCATAGGCCATTGTGTCAGGCGTCGTAAACAGATAAATTCCATGGAATTACTTTACTGGCAATACGTCATTCGCAATTTATTCGTTAATACACGAGCCGTTGAACGAGCTCATTGCCGTTGAAATGGGATTTCCGAGTTTCCTCGAGGACTTCAAAATATTGTACCTCGTCTAAATTGCTTTTCCTCGGCAATAGGATGATTTAATGCTTGACACTGAACGGTCGTTAGCAAAATAATTTCCTTTCTAATAGAGCTATATACATCACGTTTTCCGACCTCGACCGAGATATGACAAATTTTCGAGATATATATATATATGCAATAAAATAGGTATCTTCTCGTAGTATTCACGATATGAATAATTAATCGGCGTTTTATTATTATTCTTATTTTAATTAGTTGCAAATAATCGGCTCCCTATAGCAAGCATACATGATTAATTAGCCGAATCATAATTATATCATACTATTATGACACACTGAATTTAATTTGTTATGGTCTGATTAAAAATTTAATACAACGTGTTCATTCCGAATGATGACCTCTCTGTCTCCGTATATTACGAATTTCCGGTGCATTAGTGGGTGACACATCAAATGGAATTCACAATTGTGGCGTAATTTCAATTTTTAATTTATAGGTCCCGTATAATAAATTGCGACCAATTATTATCGTCATATTACACGGCGAATTGAACGTTAATTACTTCTCCCCCTTCCTCCCCCTTCCTCCTCCTCCCCCTCTCCCGTTCTACTGCCTATATCTACCACGTAATTGTAATTTGGTTTAACGACAAATTTTCGATATGGAGAAGCGTACACCCTATATTATATTGACTTTCATATCGTAAATTGTTTCGAAGGGTTTGGGAAAGCGTAAGTAGCCCCACCGAGTCAGACAGGAATTTAATCCTTGGCTACTAAGGATTAAGGGTTCAAGAGCGAATGAACTTTCATTAAAAAATCTAATTTTCGAGAGGGACTACGTTTAACCTAGGGGATAGAATTAAATTTTATGTGCTTCCTTTTCCGCTCACGGAAGCATGAAACTTGGTTCGTTCAAGAGACGCCTGAAGCAAACGACAAATGCTATTTTGTCGGAGAACGTACGAATATTCTGCGAAACAACAGCTAACAATGTTCTTTTTTTTTTTTAAATTTCACTCGATATTAATATATTTATGACAGAAGATTTTTTAAAGAAAAATTTGAAACTTTTAAGAAAAACGTCCCATAAAATTTATTATATCCAGCTTTTAAAAATAATTAAAATAATAATCACGGACAAAAGTGTATGTAACAATAAACGTCCATCCAAATAAATGTATTTATTATATAAAGTTAAATAAATACTTTCACGAATCTCGATGAATCTTGATATAACTCGATATTAAAATTAATGGTAAAGATAACAATGCGTTTGAAAGCGACAACGATAATTTTTTTCCGACGAAATAATTTAACGATCTGTCACAGTGAATGTATAAATAGTAAAAAGTAACAATAATTTTCGAAACAATCAACCATCGATAATATTATTTCCCAGCTACAAAATATATTATAAATTGAAATAAATTATAAAAAAGGGAAAGCATATATATTTAACAGATGTGTTACCTCGCAAGAACGCGTGCAATCATGAGCGCGCGATTCAGATTTATTCTTACAACAACTATCTCGTCTCGAAATAAACGGATCTGCATACATATTCAGCCAGTTAATTGCCTGGCTCGTGTGATGCGGGTATCACGGTGAAGATTAGCGAAACCTCACGGAGCATGAGAACTAAACCAACCCGATGCGCGCATTAAGTTTATGCGTTTGCCGTGTGCTACATTTGAAACGGGGGGAGGGGGAGAAGGATCACCGAAAACGACGGTTACGTCCCTGTTAAATTGCTGGCTACACATTTTCTGATGCGAATCTAATACACGGTGGGGGCCCGACAAAAGAACTTGTTACGTTTTGCGATATTCAAATTTGAACGAGACACGGATTAAGGTGGAATTGCGCTTCGCGGGGAGGATAAAAGCTCATTTGCGCTGTGGAAATAGCAAGTTCCACGGCGAAGTGGCTCCCAGGGATGTAATTATATTCGTCCTCGGCTGTATTAAAAGAATATATCCTGTTGAAAAGCGTAAAGTTAGCCGTGCACGAAATAATTGAGCTCATTGCCGGTTGACAATGAATATCTCATTGAATTACTCGACGCCCATTCTTATTTTCGA